ATGTAACCACAGTTAGTCTATGTGTTGTAAATTCCCCTTGTTCTCCTTGATCTGCATTATATCGTTCGTGTTTTAGTCAGGCACATTTAGGGACAGCTAAAGTAGTGCAGCTACGGGTCCTCGAGCTGGTTACACATGTCTGTTCATGACAGGACATTATTGCGCATCGTCACATGCATAATTACCATCGTCACAGAGAGAATGCGTTCGTGAAGAATGTGAGCATATATGCAGATCTTTAGTGTTGGTAATGTTATAAGATTGTATGCATAGTGTCCTGCTCAGTCAGTGTGTTAATGAGTCTTGATGTCCCGTTTTTAGTTGCTATGTTGTTCAGGAATTGAGCTAATGCTAGCTAGTTAGCTAAGTTAAGCTATTCAGTGATAGTGTGTGGATGAGATGCTAACTTAGCTTTTATTAGCCGTGTGTTTGCAACGTGTCTAATGTGTTTTAGCAACAATTAGTATTGTTGTTGCTTATTATTAATAACCATAGTCTGGTTAGTTATTGTAATTTGAACCTTATTTCTATTTCTGTGTATTTTGCAGAAACCATTCATTCATTCTCTACTCTACGTTATCATTATCATCATACTCATCAACCCATTCAACATCCTGTATGTGATTCCACATCAAGCATGATGTATTCTGTGTTGATGATCAGAACCAAGCTAATATAAAGTCCAAAGACTGTACTTCCTGTCTCCGTGTCAACTCTCTAACCGGAGTGCTGTTTTGGATAAAACGGCTCCAGCACAAACATCACAAAACACATAAGATTCCCCAATACTATGTGTTCTGATGTTAGTAACTATGTAGGCTAACATTAGTTAGGCTATGTGTTGTGGACTAATGCATTCAAGTTAGTTCACATTTTAGTTGTTATTGCCCCTGCTGACAATTGTGTGGATAATATGTAGCCTACAGTCAATGGCATTTCACATTTTGCGCTCCAGTGTATGTTATTTTAATGTTGACCCATAATACTATATATCTATATATTTTACAGGAGCATTGTTGAAATTCATAGGTCGAACTAAGCCTGCAGAACCACAAGTCAAGAGGACAGAGGAGCCAGATAGCAGTGGTGACTGAGACAGAATAAATAAGGAGAGAGGGCCCATGCAGAGGCAGACATCAGTAGTGAGGAATCAGACCCAAAAGACACGAGGACAGACGAGCCAGATCGCAGTGGTAAGGAACGCACTGTCATTTAATTTCACTGTAATTTTACTTTTCACATATCACTTTATTCACTATTCAGTTTAGTTATCCTTGCCATGAAGGAATGAATGATTGAATGGATGAATGTTCTATATTATTTTAATGACAGATTGAACCACAGCAATATTGTTTTAGAGATTTTATATGTTTAACTGCTATGCCTGTCATCTCTGCTCTTTGTCATTGTGTTGTCTCCTGGGTTCTGTAGTGCCCGGAGTCTGTCTTTTTATTTTTTTCCTCCCAAACCCCATCCCCTCAGGACGCCTTTTGTCTCCTGTCAGGTCATCATTGTAATAAGAATTTGTTCTTAATTGATTTTCCTGGCTAAATAAAGGTTCTACTACTATTTATTCAGTTATTTTATTACTGGTACTGCTAATTGCATTATGCGTATTGTTGTATATTGTATATACGTATGTATTTACTACTACTACTTACAAAATCGAGGGTTGTAGCTTTGTGTCAGTACATATTTCAGGGTTTTTCTATGCCTTTGTTAATCTAAATTCTAATACTCATAGGCGACTACCACTCCTGCCGATGCCGAGGCCCAGTTCTCCCTTCCCACCACCCCAGGCTCATTGTGCTAGGTAAAACTCTCATTCAATAAAAGTAGTCTTTTAAAGGTGGGGTAGGTAATTTTGGAGAAACCAGCTCGAGTGCGCTAGAATTTGAAAATACACAGCCGGAAAAAATGTGCCACTTCCTTACAGAGCCCCTCCTCCAACACACACACACGCACAGATGGAAGGCTGACAGGCAGGTATGCCATCCAGTCATTTCAGCCGGGCCGGCTAAAATGATTGGTTGTGCCTTTTACAGTACCACGGCTTCCACAGATGATATTTTTTTATGGATTTTTTGTCAAAGCACTTAAGATATTCATTGCTATCGGGATGTTAAGAGCATTCCATGGAATATAACAAAAAGTGTATCTCGAGCCGGTTTCTCAAACTTACCTACCCCACCTTTAAAGATGAATGCAATTACATTTAAAAAAGTTTTAAACAGAACTGTTACAGATGCAGATGCTTGGTCCAAATTCCATAAAATATACCAACCAGTAGCGCCACACTCAGACGAAAATGTACAAAGCCTATTCTTCCACTATTTGTATTCCCACATTATTCACCAAGCCAGCCCATGCTTTAATATAGATATTATGGATATTGTTATAATTCCTGCTGTCTTTTGTGAACTTCTAATTATTTGTAATTGTTCTGTTCCACAGATGCTGTAGTAAACCACCATCCAGGGACCAATACATCAGATATAAGAACATCCATTAACACAAGAATTTGTGAGTAAAGGCACGAAAAAAACAAGATTGACGATCAAATAGGGTACAAAACTGTTTTTTTGGCCCTGTTCCGGACCTTGTTTTAATGAGTGATCAGCGCATGTTTAAAGTTGTCACCAGGTGAAACAAAAAACAAGATTGTTAAATAGGATAACAGACTGCTCTTTTTGGCCCTGTATGAAATAACAATGCATCATTTATTAACTATACCTATACAAAATGTAATACATTTTCCCTTCATTATGTAATAACACCTCCTTTTGTAATAATTTGCCCATTATGTAGTAAACAAGTTCAATGTAATACATGTCGCCACATTTTGAAATATATTATTACATATTGCTGTGGTTATTACAAAATGAGTTGCAAACAATAACATTACAACTGTTTATTTATTTATTCAACCATGAATCATCCTTACTCATAATTTAAAAATATTTCAGTAGAATATCTTTCATTGGCCAAAACTAGATCAAGTGTTACCATATTCATTAGCCAACATGTATATCAACATCAATTTTGGGATATATTTACAGTTTGGTTATGGTTACATAATGAATATTACAGTTTTTTAAAAGGGCAACTCACGCATTTTGTAATAACCATTGCAAAATGTAATAATTTATTACAAAATGCAGGGAAATGTATTTTATATTGCGTTCAGGCTGTTACAGAATGCAGCAGATTATTACAAAATGTGGGTTTTATTACATAATTACATAAAAATGTTCTTGAGTCATTACATAATGTGTTGTTTATAGGCCTTTTCTTTTATTCTTTCCTTGTCCTTCTTTTAATGAGTATTTTGATAACTGTTACACATTGATAGAAAAAAACAAATTAAGCTTCTCATTATTCAGACTCAGCTCTCAGCGCTTAAGCTTCTTTTAAATGTTGATAAAACCAAGGTAATGCTCTTTTCAAAAACTAAAAAAGACACCAGAGCCTGTTTTAGATATTGTAATTACACAAGGAATAAAACTTGAAGTGGTTACCTGTTACAAATACCTTGGTATCTGGCTTGATGATTGTCTCACTTTTAAACTTCATGTCAATAACTTGCTTAAAAAGCTGAGGGTTAGGCTAGGTTTCTTTTCCAGGAACAAGTCCTGTTTCTCACTTGAGGCCAGAAAAAGGCTAGTCACTGTGACCTTTTTACCTGTACTGGACTATGGTGATCTGATCTATATGAATGCACCTGCCAATTGCCTGGTCAAGTTAGATGCCGCCTATCACAGTGCACTGAGATTTGTGACAAACTGTAAAGTATTAACCCATCACTGTACCCTGTATGCAAGGGCTGGTCTGCCTTCACTAACTGTACGGAGGCTCAGTCACTGGTACATTTTTGTATATAAAGCCATGTTAGGGAAACTTCCATCCTACATCTGCTCCCTGATCTCACGGCGAATTGTAAGTGGCTACTGCCTGAGATCGAATGTTGTGATTTTATTAAATGTGCCAACTGCTAGGACTGTCTTAGGGGAGATAGCATTTAGATGCGCAGCTCCGCTAACTTGGAACAGTCTGAGCAATTTGGTTCCACTAAATGTTTTTAAAGCAAGGATAGATATTATCCAATCGGAAACTGTTGGAACCTGTAAATGTTACTAGCTATGTAAACTGTAGTCACTGTAAATATGCTGTATGATGTCCTTTTTTGTTTTTCTGTTATGTTTATATGTATTCATGTGGAACCTACTTGCAGCAGGTCACCCTTGAAAAATAGATCAATGATCTCAATGGGATTCACCTGCATAAATAAAGGTTTGAAATGAAATGAAAGGTTTTTTTTATCAGAACATGCATTTCTCCTCATTGTGAACATATATTGCACTCATGTTCAGAATATATGGTACGTACATGGTCTTTTATAAATCTGAATATATATAGTGCACACATGTCCCCATATAATTGTGAATATATAGCGCATACATGTCCCCATATAATTGTGAATATATATAGTACATGTCCCCATATAATTGTGAATATATTCTACATACATGTCCCCATATAAATCTGAATATATAGCGCATACATGTCCCCATATATTTGTGAATATATATATAGTACATGTCCCCATATAATTGTGAATATATTCTACATACATGTCCCCATATAAAACTGAATATATAGTACATACATGTCCCCATATATTTGTGAATATATATAGTACATGTCCCCATATAAATGTTAATATATAGTAAATGTATGTTCACATATATACACAACCAATATATTATATATATTTACATATATTACTCAATATATGGAAAGCGGCAATTACTGATGTATTATCACATATATTACAATATTGTAATATATTAACACAATATATTATTCTATATATCTTCAATATATTTTCAATATATTTTGTAGATATGAATAAATATGTTTTTCATGTTGATTATTAATCAGTATCACTTGGTGTAGCCAACAGCAAGATTTCCTTTATTAAATCTTTTCAATTAACCAGTAAATCAGAAAACAAAATAAGGCAATATATTGACAGTTAATATATGGGGAAATATATTTTCTTTGCGTAAGGGTATATACAAGAGGGAGTGACAGTCAACAAGATGGAAGAACACTGGTTCAAAGCAGTATTCTGACATTAGTTCAGATTAGCTAAGGCCTGCATAAGCAATAAACATGACAGTCATATGTCTATCTCTCTAGGGGCTGTGACATCATGCCAATCTGAGGAACATAGCTATCATAACTTCAACACAGTGTCTCATGAGCGTCATCCATGTAGTCAGACATCCGGCTACGTACACAGCTACGTAGGGCCTCTGTTATCATGTGCTACTCTAATACAGAAGGAACATTCAGTATTTTCCCAACACAGAGCGAACAGGTACAGGAGGCGTAGAGCGAGGGATCATTGTCCACTAGTTCATCGATTGCAGATGGCGTCGTGCTTAAGGACAGAAAAAAATTAAATGGGTCGCGAAATATACTTTGGCGGCCGTTAATATACCTGTATACAAGTAGAGTCTATGTGTGGGAAACCCTGCAGTCTGAAAGCATCCATTTTTAACTTTAAACATGATCTTTAATAATTGTGTAGTTTAGTTTAACTTTACGAGGTCGACCGGTTGGACTCTGGTTCTGGACCAGCTTGCAGGCCTGGCTCCAGGAGTTCTTGGAGAGAAGGACCGCTTCCTGCCACAGGACTCAGAGTTCCTGAACATGGAGAAACAGCTTCAGTTATTATGCTCCAAATATCTGGATCAAAGTCACAGAAAGAATGTGTCTGCAGCTCAGAGAGTCCTGCTGGGAACACAGAGATGTTGAGGAGCCCAAAGTTTGATGAGAGAAATGTACAGTACGGGTCCCCAGCACATAGAAGCTGCCGGATGCTAACCTGCATATGTTGGGAGAGCTTTACAGATCAGGAGAGGAACTAAGTACATTTACTCAAGCACTGTACTTAAGTAACATTTTGAGGTACTTGCACTTGAGTATTGCCATTTTATGCTACTGTGTACTTCTACTCCACTACAGTTCAGAGGTAAATGGTGTACTTTTCCTCCACTCCATGTATGTAATACCTGTAGTTACTTCACAGATGTGGATGAATGATGTGAAATATAATCAAGTGTTAAATCAGACTTTAGTTCCACCTGGAGTAAATCCACAAGCTACCCTGCAGTATACAAAGTCATTCAAACTAGCTGCACCTTTACCAGCTTTGAGAACACTTTCATGATCAATCATTATAAAACATATCATATATATTATTCTGAAATGGACCAATCTGCACAATGACTACTTTTACTGTCGCTACTTTCACTATATTTTGATGAGAATACTTTTCTACTTTCACTTGAGGAACATTTTGAATGCAGGACTTTTTTTTTTAAGATAAAAAATTAACCAATAACTAAATTTATTCCGTGGTGGAACCTCAATAAATAAACTTCACACAGTACGACCTCTCACCTCTCTGTGTGTCTTCACTTCCTGTCACCTGAGAGGAGAAGGAGAGAGAGAGAGAATAATGATGATAATAAAACATGAAGAGAAACATCCAAAATGATGAGAGAAAAACAAGAGTGTTGTTTTCCTCTGAGGTCATGCTCCATGAAAGAGTTTCATATCTAGATGAATGGAGGATATTCAGTACTCACAGCTCTTCTGGATCTTGGCTCTGAACGTCTCATCCTCTCTGATCCTGTAGGGATGAACACAACCCAACAGTTTTAGATCCAGTTTAAAATAAGTGTTTGTTCTTTGAGTTAGTCAGCTTCAGAGTCCTGACTGATCTCATGCTTTACATCCCATCATATCTTCTCTGCAAACACTACGACTGACTGCTCTCAGCTGCATTACAGGAAGTAACCAGTCATTAGGCTCGAAACTAAAAACATCCCATAACAAACAGACTACCTTTTCCACTCTTCTGTGAAATCCCATGTGTCTGTGAGAGAGTTGATTACTAAATGTCAAGTCAAAGTCAACTTTATTGTCAATCTTCCAGTTTGTGTGTACAGACAGAGAGATCGAAATACCGTTTCCCACAATCCAGAATATAAAAACAAATGTACATAAAAATATGTATGCAAATATTTATATATATTTACACAGAATCAAAGACACATTTTTACACATAAAGACCTAAATAAAAAAATAATACAAAATAAAATGACAGTGGCTATAAATAAATAATAATATATATAAATGTGGCTTTGCATTTTCAGCTGGCCTTCTATAGTTGATGGAAGAATGAAAGAGCCTGCAGTCAGTGGGTAACATCACTGATCTGTTGTGATTCCCCAGTGAGAGAAACACCTCCCTGTGTTTAACACAATACTGCTGAACCAGCAGAGACCCCTTACTGACCTGAGGGTCTGCAGTCTGCAGTCTGGACTCTTCAGAAGATCTCTCAGCAGCTTCACTCCTGAATCCTGCAGAGCGTTGTGACTCAGGTCCAGATCTCTCAGATGGATGTTGGACTTCAGAGCTGAGGCCAGAGCAGAACAGCTGATCTCTGACAACCTGCAGCCCCTCAGACTGAATAAAGAAAACATGATGAGGATACAAATCCACACTGTATTTTCCATTTAACTAAACACACAAGAACGTGCTAGCTGCATGCTACTGTGAAGCTGGAATGCTAACAACAGGAAACCGGAACACCAAGTGTAGCAGATCCCTCCGAAAGACGGTCGTACACTTGACTGATGATTTCTCATTTATTGAAAACTCCAAAAATCAACGTAAGAGCTACACAAAGACACAACACAACAACTACAGTTAAGCTTCATCCATATGAGCATCACTTTAGCATACCATTAAACAAGTGAACCGCAAAGTTATAAAACAGTATAAACGAATCAGGACACATGTTTATATTAGTGAACACTAACCTTGTGCCTCTTGCTAATACTTTAATGTAAACTTTTTCTTTTGATATCGCCGTATTTAAATGTAGATATCTCCGTTAATGTCTGTACTTTATCTACGTTCATCTCCGTCAAGTGTTTTTCTTTGGGAACAGTAGCTTCCTGTTAATAGCGCAAAGTCGCCTTCTAAATAAAAGCATGTCTAAATAAAACAGGAAGTTGAGTTAAATTACACTTAAGAAATGTAAACAATAGCAATGAAAGCAACAAAAACAATGCAATATCCTTTTCAGGTTCATTGGTGGCCAAAAATAATGCTCCATCTGTAATGTGGCGATACTTTGGGTATCACTTTTATTTAACATATATGTTGTTCCAGTTGTAGAGGTTACACTAAATATGCCCCATTTTGTTACTGTCACGATCTGTCTGTGTTGTGTTTTGTCTTGTCTTATTCTGTCTTTGGTTTTCTGTTTTATTTTGAAAAGTGTTCACCCCCCTGTCTTGCCTGTTGCTTTCTGTCAGTGGGTGTTTCTCAATCGCGAGTAAAGCTGCTGCAGAGCCACTATTTCAAGCATACTACGTCATCGAGTGCCGCCGAAGTACTGTTCCAATCTCCAGCATACTTGGAAATCTACCGAGCCCGGCGTACTCCGTTTGGAGAAATATCGAGGCTGCACATGAGTAGACTCCGCGGTCTTAAAATCCCCACAATGCTTTGCGCACGGACCAATTTCCCCAAATCTGTGGCGGAAGATGTAATGCGGGGCCTCTCATATGACGCACACCTGCACACTTGCTAGCCTGTTCCACTCTTTGTTTTCCGAATGGCAGGAAGTATTCTTGTCTCGCTTCTGAAGCAAGATGCTCGGCAGACATGTGCTACCAAGCAAGCGTACTCGCGATTGAGAAACACCCTGTGTTCCCTCCTGCCTGATTACCCGATTGTGTTCACCTTGTGCCCCTGTGTTTTCTCCTCCCTCCTCACCTGTCTCTTGTTTCTTTGATTAGTCTTGTGTGTATTTAAGTTCTGGTTTTTCTGTCTGTCATTGTTAGATCCTTGTTTGTCTGTGACTGTGTTCACGGGGAAGTGTTCTGTTTGTTCTATTTAACCTTTAAATAAAGGTATTTTCTGTGAAATCTGCATTTGGGTCCTGCCTGCTTCACTCACCCTGACATATACTTGCTCTTTTCTCTGTTACATCCTCATTTGTTTGGGCATCCAGATGTCTTATTTAATGAACATGTGCATGTGTTCTTATATTTACTGGATAGTAGTGCAGAAAGTATGCAGAGAAAACCTTTATTTTCAAAGAAGATATATTTTGGTATTTATTTTATTTTGTCAAATTCTAAGTTATTTCCAAACAGTAGCCTACTACTCAGATATTGTTGTTGTTGCATTTGTTTATGATTCTTTGAGAAATACAGATTTCAAAATGATCATTTGTCTGTGCTCTTTCCTTTCCCTGACCAAGTACATATTACACTTTGTTCATTCAATCACAAATCACAATATTGTCCACAATAATCTCAATATGACTTTTTCACCAAATCGTGAAGCCCTATTGGGAACATAAACATTTCTATGTCAGAAAGTAAACTTTATGTGAAACTAATATTAGTTCAGAGGACCTTCTTTATTCAGACCATTTACTAAAGAAAACATACATTTACTTTAACAACTAACAGTGGAAGAATAATAGTTTCTTTAGGAAACAATCAACTGTTATGACTGCAGACTACATTTAGAGAAATACAAATGTGAACAAAACAACATTTACAAACGTATGGATGTTATATATATGTACAAGAATAAGTTGAATAACTAATGAAACATGTGAGACCTCCAGCAGTAACAGAGAGTCAGTGAACTGACCTGAGAGCCTCCAGTCTGCAGTCTGGACTCTCCAGAAGATCTCTCAGCAGCTCCACTCCTGAATCCTGAAGATCGTTCTTACTCAGGTTCAGCTCTCTCAGATGGATGTTGGACTTCAGAGCTGAGGCCAGAGCAGAACAGCTGATCTCTGACAAACTGCAGCTCCCCAGTCTGAATAAAGAAAACATGATGAGGATAAATATCAGTTTATAATCCAATCAGATGTTCAGGTCTGAAATGTGCAGCTCATCATTACTGCGTCCTAATCAATGATCTTCCCCTGAATAACAGTGACCGTCATTCTGTTATTGAGGATCATCATTATATCAGCCTTCTGTTTATTATCTGTGAAAACACATCTAAATGATTGGGAACTAGGGCTGCACGATTAATCGAATCACGATATCAGCTTGTGCGATTACATAACCGCAATAGGCTGCGATTTAATTAAATAATAAAATGTGCGTGCTGTAGAGCCGATGAATGGGAGTCGGAGGCGGTGTGTTTAATATGGAACTCCACACTTTATTTTCCATTTAACTAAACACACAAGAACGTGCTAGCTGCATGCTACTGTGAAGCTGGAATGCTAACAACAGGAAACAGGAACACCAAGGCCCGTTCTCATTTAATCAATTCCCCCTCCTCGACTCCTCGACTCCTCGGTCCTCCGGTAGTGACCCGGAAATGAATTTTAGCGCGCCATGTTGAAGGACATCTCATTTCTCTAAATGCACTTCGAGGACCGAGCATCGAGCGTCGAGGAGGCTCTCTGGAGGAGCTATAACCGAGGATACACTGATGGGTCCTCCACGGTCCTCCACGGCTCCTTCGTGGATGCATTTCCGGCAACAGAGATGTTTCAAAGAGTCGTGACGCACGGCCGGACTTATCTCAGCCAATCACAGCTCTGCATGCATCCCCTGGATATTATTTTATTAACTGCTTTCATCGCGACGCGATGTTTACAGTGAGAACAGCTGTGAGGTCCGTGCAGAAAGCAGAGCAGTGTGTATAATATATATCACTCAGTATAACAGGCCTACTCTCTTTATTTGCTTTAGTTTAGTAGATATCTACAAACAAAGAGTCAATATTTTTCTAAAACCATTTAGTGCTTCACATAATAAAATACACAACGGCTGTAGCCTGATTATGCTTTAGGAGCTGGAGGTGCGTGTGTGTGTGGTGTAGGTGTGTGTGGTACAGTGTGTGCGTAGATGCAGCGGACAGACAGGTCTCACTTGGTTTGGTGTCCTCTGCTTACTTGTAATACTTGTAAATAAAACTTTTGGCCCGTAATTTATTTTCCTCATTGTAGCGACCAGAGAGGGGAGAGGGGGGGGATATATCCAGTCTCTGATATGCCCCTTTCACACCGGCTGGAGCTGGAAAAGCGCCAGTTTTTCCTGTTCACAACGCAGCGGCGCCGCCTCTTAGCTCCGGAATGCGGTTCACTTCCAGCTCCAAAAAATTGTCGGTCTAGAGGCAAGAGCTTCGGAGCTATGACGCGGCGTCGCTTACGTCTCTCTTACGTCGAGGCGTGCAGGAAACTAAACCCACCTCCCCTGAACATGGGTCGACTGAAGAGTCTCGTCATGCCTGCCTACAAGCAGTAGCGCTGAGCAAAGTGACTAGAAGGCAACCACACACTTATAAAAAAAAAACACACTTTATAAAGTCAGGCAACACTAACCAGGCTTCGTGTGATTCTGTTTATTTGTACCTTACTTTGACCATCCGTTCGCTGTTATTGATCATTGTGGAGAGCAGGCAGACGTTTTGTTTGTTATTATAGCAGCTATCGGATGGAATCAATACATGGGCTGCACAGGTTGTCATGTCCGACTATCACAAGTAGAATCATAATGAAAAATACGCCGGTAAAATGTGCCTGTAGAACACGGCTTAGCAAGTAGTCAGTTTAGCTTCGGTTGCTATGCTAACATCACCCATGTTATACCAGAGAAACTTTCATAACAGCGTTGTGATGCCAAACAGCGTCAATTCAGACTGACACACATTCACTTAAGGGGAACTGGGGATATGTATCAGCTGCTTGTGTGACAGTCAGACAGTGAATACTTTAGAGCCGTGTGAGCTAACCCGGAGCTAACGGGAGAATAAACTCCCGTGGAAGAGCAGCCAGCACTGCAGCGGTCGGTAAATGCCGCTGAAACACATTAATAAACAATGAACCACGGCACTCTGGAGAAAAGTACAAGGTTGGAGAAGTCGTTATTTAATTTAATCTGGCTTCGTATGATTAAAAGCAACACGATCATCGACCCAACGCAGTCCCCCCCCGTTGTTGTTGTTGTGAGCTTCGTTGGGGAGAAAATCAGCGATGTAAACGCTGACGTCATGACGCAGCAGCGGCAGCTCTGGGCGGTGTGAACAGAGCGGGAGCTGGAAAGGGAAACCGGAGCTGAACCAGAAAAGCTCTAGCTAGGAGCTAGAAAGGGAAAAGCGCTGGTGTGAAAGCCGCAATAGTGTTACGTTATTATGAGAGTGCTCTGTTTGATTCTGAAATTGTATATATTTATATATATGTGTGTGTGTGTGTGTGTGTGTGTGTGTGTGTGTGTGTGTGCATCTGTAGCCTGTTATTGTCTCATTATACCGCACTGTGAATGAATCAAAGTAAATATAT